ACATCCATCATCCCTTTACCCTCCTTACCCCCACCATTTTATTACCCATATCCGGTGCAGCCAAAATACGGTGGACCATCTGCACCAGTAGAAGTTGGTGCTGGGGATCCTACAACTGCAACAGATAATCGCCTATACCTTGAGCTTGAGGGCGATACGTAAGTTCAGTTTATTTTGTTAAGTTTATTGTAATTTGATATATTATATGTTATTGATAAAAAATTTAACCTATAGCTTCAATCCATCAATGCCACCTACCCACAAGATTCAGGACATCATAAGGAGCAAATATGAAGTTCCTTACTTATCATGGAAGAAGATCCCAAAGGAAATTAGGGGTATATGGTTTAGAGAATTTTAGATATATTTATTTAGCATGAATTAAAATATTTGATTTAATTTCTATTAATATTATTTATTATGCATATATATTTTTTTATAGAAAGATTTTAGATGGTTTCCTGAGTATAGTATAAGAATCAGAATAAATTTTGAGAGGAGAGGATTGACCCATCATAAGGACATGTTCACAGACATTAGAAAGTCCGGTCAGCGTCCATTATAGATTGGAGAGGGCTTATGGGCATATCTCAGTAGAGCTTGGGTGAGCCCTAAGTTCACAAAAATAAGATAGCAGAATAAGCAGAATAAAGCATCTGATTATGGGGGTTTAGGAAGCTCCCTTCGTACTGGTGGATGTGTTCCTTATACTAAACATATATGACAACTGGTAAGATCTTTCAATTAGTTTAATATATATATATATATATATATATAATTTTAACTATATCTTCTATTTTCAGAAAGAGTTTTTGCATCAGGAGTCGACACTATTGGAGTTTCATACGAGGACTCACCAACATCAAGCTGATTATCAGTGGGTTAATGAAAAGGCTAAAAAAGCTCATGTGAGTATAATTTTTAGTGTTTGGAAATATAAATTTAATATAAAAAATCTCATTATAATATCAATTTATTTTATGGATTTATTCTGATAGGATGATTTTATACGAGTTCGAGAAAGTCGTCAGTCTACTGGTGAGGGATCATCTTCATAATCATCCCAGTATTCTAAGTATCATACATGATCAGATTTTGTTGGAGAAAGACAGAGGGGGAGGGTATATGACTTGAGTTTGTAAGGCTATGCTTATGGGGGCAGTTCATCCACATCAGTATTTTATGATCCTAGTGGAGCTGAAGAAACGGTAAGCCAGAGGGTTGTAGCCCTGACAAGAGAGATAGAAGAGATGAGAAAAGTTCAAAATGAGATGTAGACAGAGCTACGATCCGATAGAGATGAAAATCAAAAGAAAAAAAGTGCAAGATCAAACAAATACATCACTAGATAACGAGGACATAGAGGATGATTAGTACTCTTATTTGTTTGATAAATATTTGATTTGATGAACATATTGTGTGAAAAGTGAGGACATGGACATCTTATTATGGATTTTTATGTTATGTTCATTGTAGACTTTATTTGGTTTGTTGACTTTATTTAGTTTGGTGAACTTTGTAAACTTTATTTATTTATTATGGATTTCATTTGAATGCTATATATGTTGATTTTGGATTATAGTTGTAGATTGATTATAGTGGTGTATTACCCATATTTGTGATACATGTCCTCAATTATTTACAGGTTTGTGGAAATTTGAGTAAATAGAGGGGAGGCTGTCAAATTTTTTTTAAATGGTACAGGTTTTCTGCGGCCAATCGGCAGTTTGGCCACCGGAAACTTCGATACTGGACGACTTATTATAGACGTTGAAAGTTTAATAAAGACGCCGAAAAATACCGGCGGTCACCGACGGTTTTGACAGCCGTTAAGCCACTGATGATTGATCGGCGGTCACCGGGGCTATGACCGCCGTAGATTAACAGCCGTTTAAGCCGCCGAAAATCGTTTCCTACACGAAAAACTGTCAGTATTTTTTTGAAATTGTCAGAAATCTAACATGAATCGCTAGAAAAAATCGTCGATAATGATTAAATTTCCTATAGTGAAATAACTCTACTTGACACATTCGATAAACACATCACTTCTAATTTCAACCTCTCCATTTCTCTAATTAATACATGCTCAGAAGTAATCAAACTAGCTGATATTCCAATTGACTTCTTGTTCAAAGCATTAATAGCCATATTCTCTATGTTTAACTTATATATGATATCCAAATCATAATCCTTGATCAGCTCTAACCATCTTATTTTCTTAAATAAAGCTCCTTCTGGGTGAAAATATTTTTTAAAACTTTGGTGGTCGCTATAAATCTCACATTTGACACCATATTGATAATGCTATTTGATCTTCAGTATAAATATGAGAGTTATCAACTCCAAATCATGAGTTAGGTAGTTCTTGTCATGCAGCTTTAACTATCTGGAAGCATAAGTCACCACCTTTTCATTATATTGTAATGACATCTCAGAAACTTTAGAGAAGCATTATATACACGTAGAATTCTTCTATACCCAATGGAATAGTCAGCATAGGGGTTGAAACCAAACACTCCTTCAACTTTTAAAGACTCTTTCACACTTTGGTGTCCAGTTAAATGGCATAGACTTCCAATTTAACTTTGTTAGAGGGATTATAATCTACAAAAACCTCTAGCAAACTTCTTATAGTATCCCGCCATGCCCAAAAAAACTATGAATATCAATCATTGATGTCGGCCTCCTCCAATCAAGTATAGCTTGCACCTTCTAGAGGTTCATATTAATCCCTACCTTGGTCGCCACACTCCTTAGAGCGCCGTCGTACTGGGAGGAGCAACACCTCGACATTGTCCATTCTATTTGGGAGAAGAAATTGAGAGAGCAATGTGGCGCTGGGTAGCATAGTTGTGGTGTTCGACTCTCTATTTGCAGAAATCTTGGAGCATATGGAATATTTTATTAGAGTATAATGGTACTGAGAAGGTGAGCACCATGATGCTCAATCAAAAATGAAAATTTTAAATCTAAAATATTCAAATCCATTTTGGCATCTCATCCTAGCTCCTTATCCAAAAGGAAGAGGAGAGGAGAAGGGAGAGGGCAAAGGACGAGAGAGAAATAATGAGAGAGGATTCAGAGGACAAAGCTTGATATTCGTTCATTGGGCTAATTAAGGGTTTAGTAGAGCATGAGGTAGACTTCTAAACATCTATATCTAATTTTAATTCTATTGATTTTATAAAATGATATGAATAAAAACATATTTTTCTTCAATTTTATTGCATTTTTATTGTTTAACTTTTAGTCTATTAATGTATGCTTTATTCTGAACACGTTGGCTATAAGAAGTTGATTTTTCCTATGTTGATTTCTATGTATACTGAACAAACAAGGCTTTTCTTATTTTCATAATAATGATATAACAATCTTAAAATGCTATTCTAAATATTCCTCTAAAATTATAATTGAAATGAAATATATCGAGTGAGTAGGATTTTATACATGTAATATAGCTTAATGTTGTCAATTCTAACAATTCATGTATCATTATGATAATGTGTTAAAGAAATAATAGCTATTTATACTTTTAAATTTGCATAATTCATGGCATTGCATTGGAGGAATTCTGATATTTGAAATGTTATAAGTGCATTCTCTGAAATGATACAAGAGCACTAAATATTTTATTATGGCCCCATCCGCTTTATGTGGATGTGAGACAGATTCTAACTCCACTTGTTGAATACAGGTGTGGGAGGTTACTCTATTCTGCTATGGTTGCCCCATTTGCTATATGTGGGTTTGAGAGGTTAAAAGATAATGATAAGTGAAAGTGAAATTATAAGTATGTATCATTACATGTGTATTATATTCATGCATTGAATATTATGATAACTTAATAAACTAAATACAAATAATATTTTAAGCTAGTTTTCGTACATTCTGAAATCTCCATGAAAAAAAAAACACGTTTTTTCATGGAACAAGAAAGTTTAAGCATAAGTAAGGTTTTGATGAAAATTGTACTTTGATATCTCTAGTATTCCTATAAAAGTGAGCCGCATAAGTACAAGTAAAAATCCTGAAATCAAGTACACTCTTATAACTCTAAGAAATCATTTTATGCTAGTACTTTGTTCACTCTTTTTGACTTATTGAATATTTAAATAAATTATTATCAGCGTTTTAAGGATATTAATATTGGTGATAGGTTTTTAAAGGAACTCTACTAAGCTAATTGTGCTCCCCTTATAAATTTATTGACATTTCAAGAAAATGAAAGAACTCAGCGGAATAGGCAGGGGTAAATGCAAAGTCGTCTAAATTAGCATGGTTGAGATATTTTGTAATCCACTATGATTCTTTTAATGTTTAGATTCCATTTGCACTAGATTATTGTATGTATGAGTTTTAAAGAATGGAATGGAATGAGGTTTCTATTATTATTACATTAAATTTTATTGTTAGTTTTGGATTATTCTACTTGTGGTTGAGTTAAAATCTAGGATTTGATCTTAAATCATTCTATTAGATCACAACCTCTTATCTATTAATTATACATCACTTTATTTATTTATTTATTTATTTTGTTTTTTTATATTTTTATATTTTTATTTTTTTCTATTAATTATACATTGCTTTTTTTATTTTTTTAATATTTTTTATTTTTTTTTAATTATGCATTGCTCTTATGTATAATGGTTATAGATAGGGCTAAACCTTGTTGCTCTTTGAGCACAATTTCTTTTGTGATCTCTCCTAAGAACTCAACACATTTATTTAAGCACTTATTATCAATTAATATATAATAAATAAATTTACTTAAATTTTAATAATATTATTATTGTTTTTAATTTTTTATCATTAAAAAAATATTTAACAATCTCTTCACGCAAAAGACGCTCCGCTGAGCTTTGCTTACGCGGGCATGGCCCTCTCGGCCACAAGGGTCCACCAGGCCTGGCCCACATATGCGGCCTCTGTTCGCCTCGCGAGGGCGCTCGCTCCTTCTGAGCCCGCCTAGAAGCCAACGATCGACATCAAAATTCGTTTTATTGAAAGCAAGACAGAAATAGTTTTTCTAAAAATAAAATAAAATTTCATCCTTCGTGTTTTTTTTTTTCTAATTATTTCGGCGTCTCTTCAACTTTCTACTTCCTCCGGCATCGCCCACCGCCGGAGGGGATTTCCACGTGAGTTACTCATTTCAACCTTTGAATTTTACTTCACGAGTTTTGAAGTGTAGTTCTCATTGTTACTATTGTTTATAATATTAAAACGAAAATCAAATTTTCCCTCCAAAAACAAAAAAAAATCTATTATCTGGCTTTGATTGCACTGCGTAAGTTTCAATCTTATTTCAGCATTCTGCGAGTTTATAATCGGCGTACTTATAATAAGCTTTTCGGACGTTTGCATTTACTGTTTCATAACCCTAGCTTTTTCTGTTTGAAATCACTCGTTTAGGTAGGATTTCTACTTTATGACTTAATTTTCTCCGTAAAATTTTATTTATGATTTATTTTCTTTTAATGTGGTGCTAAACTTAAATGTTTTTTGCTTTACCGGTTTTTAAATTTCCTAATTTCCAATAACTGGAATGTTGAGCAAGAAATTGACAATCTGAACCATGTATAACTGGCCTAAATGCAGTCGTCCGCTTGCTTGTAAATTATTCACATTCATTCTACTGAAAGGAGATTCTTTTTTATGGCACAGGTACTTGACTTCTGACATCTGAACTACTTGTATGTGCATGATTAGATACAATCTTTATTGCTGAAGGACAATGCAGGATATAAGCAGCAAACATCAGATTAGTTCAATTCGTAAGCAATTATCCACATTTTGGTTTCTTTTAAGTTAAGAGAAAGCATATCTACTTGCATAATAATTATGAACTTTAAATCTCACTTTTAAATTAGCATTTTCTGAAAGAACATAGGAAGACACCTTACTTTGAATATCCTTTTATGCATCTATGTAACCAAAACAAAAATATTTTGACTCAATGTTGATTCTTGATGTATCGTTGCTATTATTAAAAGCTCCTTGGTCACTGAGCAACTACTTTGTATGTTTGTTATTGCTCTTTTGTACATATATTTAATAGCTTTATCACGCTTTTAGTACAAACATTTTTCTTCTTAATTCTAGGGTCTCATGGTACTTGATTACATATCTTCTCTAAATCTAGAAAATGTAAATAAAGATATTTTCTCTACTCTATATCTTTTATTAATTATCTAAACACCAAAATTTCTTCCATAATGTTTTTTTTTTGGAATAAATCAAATTGATTACTTAATATTGTCATAATTTTTTAAGTTTATATTCCATTACTTTCTCCCAAAATTTTATTGTATAATTTATAACTTTGATAACTCTATATTTTTTAAAATCTTGAATATCTTCTTTGTTTTTAAATATTAGTATCAAAATTACTCTTCTTAAATCATTTGATACCTTCCTGATCATCATGACACTATTCAAAAGATTTACGACCAAAACGCTACATTAGCATTCATACTTTATATATCACTAATCTATCATTCAAACTTAAAGTTTTACCTTTATGCTTTTCTTAAAGAGCTATCTTCACTCCACTTCCCTTCTATTAATATTTCTCAAACTCGCATTTTCATCTTTTATAACTTTTCATTTTTTATTAAGATCTTATTATCTTTGTGTCTAATACATAATTTGTTCAAAGTTTTTAGACTTATTACCTCTTCCCTTAGCTATTTATTATATCTCCTTCTCTTCTTCATGAGTATCAATCCTATTATATAAGTCATTAAAAGCAATTGCTTTTGCTTTGCCTACTTCCTTGGCAAAATATATAGTTTTCTTATAACACTTAAACTCAACAGTATTAATCTTTTGTAATATTAAATATAATTTTTTCATTAATGTCCTTTTTGACCTCTTCAATCAACCACTAAGTCTCCTTTCTAACCCACCATCAATTTCTAGACTCTCTTAAAAATTTTATGGTATTCTTGTTGGTGAAATTAGGTATCTTATACTACATTTGGTTTGAATCAATTGAAAGTTATAATTTTTTTCTGTTATTTGCCTTTCTTATATAATTAACAATTTATCACATTTTAAATTCCACTGTCTTATCATAAATTTTTTTATATTTTAAATGTTTTTCATGCACTCCTGAGATATATCTTCATAATTATCATTCGGTATTTTGTCGTCAAATTTTTCTTTGGAATCAACTTTAATATTTGAAAATATAATTTCTTTCCTTCTAATTAAAAGAGGTACATTTATGATTTGATATATCCACTTTTGAAAACAATGAAAATGCTCTTCTTATTTCTTAAAAATAGATATTCACTATTGGATGACATCAAATATAGTTTATTTCATTAAATATATGTCGTCAAATTTTTCTTTGGAATCAACTTTAATATTTGAAAATATAATTTCTTTCCTTCTAATTAAAAGAGGTACATTTATGATTTGATATATCCACTTTTGAAAACAATGAAAATGCTCTTCTTATTTCTTAAAAATAGATATTCACTATTGGATGACATCAAATATAGTTTATTTCATTATATATATATATATATATATATATATATATATATATATATA